CAACGACATATTAGACAGAAGGGGGAGGAAGCGAGGGAGGAGGAGAAGAGGCAAGAGAACTGTCCGCAGCACGTCGTGTTCACGACAAGTCGTGCAAATTCAATCGAAAACGCTGCCACATCATATGGCACGGGCCGCCAGGAGTTGGGGAGCAAGCCGTGGCGTGAAGCCTTCTGGGAAGACCTGAGGGAAGCCTCCTGCATCACATGCAGCAGCTGCAGCGCATTCGCGCCCCCCCACATACACACACACACACACACACACACACTCCGGCGGCAGGGGCATAGCATAGATAGCAGCTGGCCTTGGACACTACCTGGCTTACTTCCGCAGGCCGAAAGATTTTCCTCTTGAGGCCCACATGTCGGAAACGACGCGCCGTTCAGGTGAGAACAACCACATGTTATGGGACACGTGAAGGGAGGTGGCCGGGCCCGCTGTGGCGCTCGAGCTTCCGACTTGGACACTTTGCTTGCGTGTCTTCGCCCTCCCTCATCCCTTCCTCTCCTCCTTCTCCTCCTCCTCCCAGTTCCCCCGTCCTCCTCCCGCCTCCTCCCTCCTCCTCCTCCTTCCTCCTTCGTCCGTTCGCCTCCCTCCTCTCTCCTTCCTCCTCCCTCATCCTCCTTCTCCTTTTCATTCCTCCTCCCCCCGTCTCTTCCCTGATTATTCCTCCTCTTTCCCCCCCTGCGTCCCCTCTGTTCTCCTCCCACCTCCTCTTGCCTCTTCCCTCATCCTTCCCCTCTTCATCCTGGGAAGACCCCCCTCCCCCGTAGAATCATAGCATTGGTCTGCAGATCCACAGTTCCGTGGATAGCATGATGTTTCACTTGCGGTGCTCCGCGGATCCAATTTCCCCTGGGTCCCGGATGTTAACTATTATAATAGATTTATTCCCGGGAAATAAATGGATCCATCGTTTTTTCCACACACACACACAGGAAATTTGATCCGCGCAGCACAGAAATAGGATCCACGAGACTCTCCCACACCCGGAAAGGGATCCAATTGGATCCATTGATGTTGTCATATTTTCAGTCCAAGAGGAAACAACTTTCGGCCTGGGGATGCAGGATTTAGCACCCCTTTCGCACTTCCACGCAGGGGTGTTGGCGGGGGAGGCGCAGTCCGAAATCCCACGCAGGGGTGTTGGCGGGGGAGACGTAGTTCGAAATCCCACTAAGGATTTCACACCCCTCTCGCACTTCCACGCAGGGGCGTTGGCGGGGGAGACGCAGTCCGAAATCCCACTGAAAGATTTATCACCCATCTCGCACTTCCACGCAGGGGCGTTGGCGGGGGAGACGCAGTTCGAAATCCCACTTCCGCAGGCCGAAAGATTTTCCTCTTGAGGCCCACATGTCGGAAACGACGCGCCGTTCAGGTGAGAACAACAACATGTTATGGGACACGTGAAGGGAGGTGGCCGGGCCCGCTGTGGCGCTCGAGCTTCCGACTTGGACACTTTGCTTGCGTGTCCTCGCCCTCCCTCATCCCTTACTCTCCTCCTCCTCCCACTTCCCCCCTCCTCCTCCCGCCTCCTCCCTCCTCCTCCTTCCTCCTTCGTCCGTCCGCCTCCCTCCTCTCTCCTTCCTCCTCCCTCATCCTCCTTCTCCTTTTCCTTCCTCCTCCCCCCGTCTCTTCCCTGATTATTCCTCCTCTTTCCCCCCCTGCGTCCCCTCTGTTCTCCTCCCACCTCCTCTTGCCTCTTCCCTCATCCTTCCCCTCTTCATCCTGGGAAAAACCCCCCCTTCCCCCGTAGAATCATAGCATTGGTCTGCAGATCCACAGTTCCGTGGATGGCATGATGCTTCACGTGCGGTGTTCCGCGGATCCAATTTTCCCTGGGTCCCGGATGTTGTTTATTATTATTATCATTATTATTATTATTATTATTATTATTATTATTATTATTATTATTATTATTATTATTATTATTATTATTATTATTATTATTATTATTATTATTATTATTATTAATATTACTAATATAATTATTATTATTATTGTTGTTATTAGTATTATTGTTATTATTAGTGTTACTATTAGTACTATTATTAGTATTATTATTATCAGTATTATTACTATTATTATTAGTAGTAGCATTATTATTATTATTATGTATATATATATTCCCGGGAAATAAATGGATTCATCGTTTTTTCCACACGCAGGAAATTGGATCCGCGCAACACATAGGATCCACGAGACTTTCCCACACCCGAAAAAAAGGGATCCAATTGGATCCATTGATGTTGACATATTTTTAGTCCAAAAGGAAAAAACTTTCGGCCTGGGGATGTAAGCTGCAACATTTGACCAGGAGGAGGAAGAGGAGGAAAACGAGAAGGAGGAGGACCAGTGGAAACCCAAGACTCATCAACGATGTTGAAATACACCCTCCGGGATCCATATTCATAGGCCCCAATAAAGGGTCGTTTCATCTGGGGAATTGCCCCGCTAGGGGACAACAGTGTGAACATCTTGAAGCGTGCCAGAACACCGTTCTCAGGACTTCAAATGCCACGAGTCAAGCTGACTGTTGCGTCTTGACGATCCTAAACCGTACCAGAACACCATTCCGAGACTTCAACACTACGAATCAACGCAAGCGCTGCGCCCTGACAGACCTGAATCGCTCGACAACACCGTTTCTGGTATGTCAGCAACGAGAAAACTCCTACAACATATTAGAACAAGTTAGAGCTATAAAACGAATGTGAGATTGTGCGCGGCGCTAAAGCAAGAACCAGATGTTGAAAAGGAATCGTCCTCAATCCATGAATCCCCTGCACTGGCCTCGGGGCGCGACAGGGAGGAGTTCTTCAGAAGGTAAGGAATGGAGGAGGGAGAGGACGAGGGGGAGGAGGAGGAGGAGGAGGAGGAGGAGGAGGAGGAGGAGGAGGAGGAGGAGGGGGAGGGGAAAGGGGAGGGGGAGGGGGGAGGGCAAGCTAGGTGCGCTCGCGTCATATCTGACATCCTACCCTCCCTCCCATCCCGTACCATGGCGCAGATCCCCTCTCTACTCGCAGAGTCGGATGTCGAGCAGGGCACTGATCCCGAAAGGGTACGCGATGCATTGTAGAGCACGGTATGGCATGGCGTAGAAGAGCACCGCGAAGCGCAGTATCAACCTAGCATTGCATCGAATGCCGTGGCATGGCACGAGAAATGACGCCAGCGCTGCAGCGGGAGCACGAGTCGAAACGAGCGGAAGCGCGGAAATGAGGCCAGCGCTGCAGCGGGAGCACGATTTGGAACGAGCGGAAACACGCCGGAATCGGCCCGGGAGGCCCCCCGGGCGCCGGAAGCAGAAATGCACCATTTTCAAAAAAAAAAAAATGTGTATTAGAGTGGCCTTTTTTCGGCGCCGCCTCGGAAATCGATTTTCCGGCGCCAGCCGGAACTGGCTCCGGACCCGGCCTGGGCGCCGGCCCGGGCGCTGGCTCGGGCGTCCGGCCCGGGCGCCGGCTCGGGCGCCGGCCCGGGCGTCTGAATCGGGCCAGGAGGCCTCCAGGGCGCCGGAAGCAGAAATTCACCATTCTCAAAAGAAAAATGTGTATTAGAATTGCCTTTTTTCGGCGCCGCCTCGGAACTCCATTTTCCGGGGGCGGCCGGAACCGGCTCCAGACCCGGCCCGACCGCCGGCCCGGGCGCCGGCTCGGGCGTGCATGCAGCCTGGGCGCCGGCGGAAATGATGCCAGCGCTGCAGCGGGAGCACGATTCGGAACGAGCGGGGCCCGAAAATGAGGCCGGCGCCTCAGCGAGAGCAGCATTTTGGAAAAAAATGCAAGCGAAAACACAACTCCGGGGAAACCTGCGTGCAAAAAAGCAGTACGCGGGGGGGGGGGCGGCTACTCCCAAGACGTCATCAGGGGAAGAGGGAGAGTAGTATTCAGATTGAGTGATTGTGGAGGGGGAGGGGAGGGAGGGAGGGAGGCAGGGAGGAAGGAGGCAGCGAATGAGGAGCAGGAGCAGCAGGAGCAGGAGGAGCAGCAGGAGCAGGAGGAGCAGGAGGAGCAGGAGGAGAGGAGCGCGAGGAATCCAGTCACGCCGCCCACCGGGAGCCAGAAAGGGCACGGACGGCCCCGCTGGCCGCATGGCGTAGTGCAGGCAGTCCTCCCCTTTCCCTTTCCGCCGCAGCTCGCCCACAGAGGGAGCGTCGCTTGCGCTGCCCGCCTGCCCGCCCGCCCGCCCTCCTCGTTCTCCTCCTGCTCCTCTTTCTTGCTCCTCCTTCCGCCCCATCAGGCTCCTCCTTCGCCTCCTCCTCCAACGCCTCCTTTTCCTCTGCCATCTGCTCCGTTTCCTCTGCCTCCTCCTCCTCATCCTCCATTCCTTGTCCTTATACTCAACTCCTCCCTGTCCGCACCCCGAGGCCTGTCGAAAGGGCGGGCCTGCCGTTTCGCCTGAGACTTCCTCACCACTTATTCTGATGCTCAAAAAAGGCACAACAGCTTCAAAGATGGAGGGCGGGTGGCTTCCAAAATGTGGCTCTCGCCGAAGCGCCGCGCACATTCGTTTTGAACATCTGCAAGAGCTTCACGGATTGAGGGCGGGCCGTTTTCAAAATGTGGTTCTCGCCGTAGCGCCGCGCACATTCGTATGAAAACATTGCAAAAGCTTCACGGATTTAGGGCGGCTCCTTTTCAAAATGTGGATATCGCTTTAGCGCCGCGTTCATTTGTTCGAAGACGTGCAAGGGCTTCGCGGATTGAGGGCGGCTCCTTTTCTTAATGTGGCTCTTGCATAGCGCCGCGCACATTCGTTTTAAAGATTTGCAAGAGTTTCACTGAATCTCAGGGTGAACGAACCAGAAACGGCGTTGTGGTAACGACTCAGGATTGTCAGGGTGCAACAGTTACGTTGATTTGCGGTGTTGGAGTTCCGAGAATGGCGTTCTAGCACAATTCCGGACCGCCAGGATGTAACAGTCCAGCTAACCCGTGGCGTTGAAGTCTTGAGATTGGTGTTCTGGCACGCTTCAAGATGTTTACACTGTAGTCCCCCAACGGGGTAATTCCCTCAGTGAAAAATGACCCCGTGTAGGGGCCTACGAATAGGGATCCTGCAGAGAGAGTGTATTTCAATATCGTTGGTGAGTCTTGGGTTTGCACTGGTCTTCCTCCTCCTCATCCTCCGTCTCCTCTTCCTCCTCCTCATCCTCCTCCTCCTCCTTGCCTTGTCCCGTTGGCTCGAAGCCTGGTCCTCTTCATCAGGATCCCTCTGTCCCCAGACTTCATGCGGCGCGGCGGTCTGGCTGGCGCAGGCGGCGAGGCCGGTGGAAGAACGGCGACTGCGTCTTGCGGCGTGGCCGCCCGCAGAGGCGGCGGAGCAGCCCGAGGCAACGGCGGCAGGCTTGTCGCCGCGGCTGCTGCACCGCGCCAGGCAAGCCGCAGCCCGCAGGGCTCCAGCGAGGCGCCTGGCGGCGGCGCTGCGGCGGACCCAGGGCTTCGGGGAGCAGGTCGTCAGGGCCGAGGCGAAGCAGGCCGCCGAGCTGGCCGTGCGGCTGGCCGCCGCGGGTGGCTCGAGCGCGCCGGCGGCCGACGGCGCCCTCACGGCCGAGCTCGCTCCGAGACGGGCCCTGGCCCGCGCCTGGGCCCCGGCCCGCGCCGGGCGCAACGCTGGGCTGCACTGCGCCTGGCGCCGAGGCGCCAGCCTCGCCGCCGCGCGGCAGGCGGCCCTCGGCGGGCCGCGCCCGCTGCGCGCGCGGCTCTCGGCGGGCCCGCGGAGGCGGCCGAGGGGCGAGCGCGGCGAGGGCGGCGCCTCGCCGCCGCCGGCCCGTGGCGCGCTCGGCGGCAAACGCCCCGCCCGCCCTGCGAACGGCCTGCCGCCGGCGCCAGCCGCCGGGCGCGGCGTGAGGGGCCCCGCAGCCGCGCCGCGGCCGCGCTCGCCTCGGGCGCGCGGCGCTGGGCGGCTGGCGCCGAGGCGGCGGGCCGCGACGCCCACGTCTGCGGCGGCGAGGCGGGGCCCCCACGCCCGGCCTTGGCGCTGCGGCGCCGACGCCCCCGCTGGGCCCGAGGCTGTGCTCTCGGACGGTGGCGTGGACCTTGGCGGCGCCCAGCCCGGCGCCCCTGGCCCCGCGTTCTGCTTTATGAGAGGAGAAAAAAAAAACGAACAAGAAAAGACAGCATCAACTGTTGGCGCTCCGCGCGAGTTTCTTGGATCTGCGCTGGACCCCCCGCCCCTGGCGCGCGGAGCGCGCCAGGGGATGCGCAGGAGGTGCCGCCGGGGGGCCCAGCGCGGATCCAAGAAATCCGCGCAGAGCGCCAAAAGTTTATGTTTATGCCGCTTGTTCTGCTTCGACTCAGGGGGGAGAGGCTGGAGGGGCGGAGCTTCGCGAGAAGCCAGAGGACGGTCGCGAACGATTGCGCGGCGGCGCCCGCCGCCCTGCCCTCCAAACCTGCATCCTAGCGCCGTGCCCACCGCCGAGCCCAGCTCCGATGTGGCCCCCGAGGTGGAGCCCAAGGAGGAGGCGAACGCTGAGCCCGACGCCCAGTCCGACCCGCAGGGCGCCTGCGACGACGTGGAAGCACACGAGTGAGAGCTGAACGGCGACGCGGGCGCTCTTGGAGACTCGGCGGAAGGTGCGCCGTCGCCCGAAGACGGCGCTGAGCCCCACATCCAGCCCGACGCGGCGGGCTCTGTCCGCTTCGCCTGCCCAGAGCTGTCCCGAGGACCGCGGAGGCTGCAGGTGCTTGCGCGGCGCACGCGGCCGCACGCTGGCGGCCCGTCGGCGGATCGCTGGTCTGAGGGCCCAGCTCTGCGCCTGGTCCATGCCAACAGTCGGCCTGCCCTGGTGGTGAAGCTCCGTGGCAAGGCGAGACGGCATCTTGGTCCGCAGCCGAAAAGATGATCAAGAAAATTAGCATTTAAGAAATCTGGGCCAGCTTCCCGGAGGTTTCGTCAAAAAAGTCCTGGGCCAAGATCTGTTAGTGACGCCAGAAGGGCGAACGTGCCCGAGAAACTGGGCCAGCTTCCTGGCAAGCTGGTGGAGAAACGCTGGCCCAGCTTCTCGAGAGGAGGCTTATCCATCAGATGCTCGACCGTATTTCGGCGGCAAGCGAGGGGGGCAAGTGAGAAGGGGCGGGCCTTCTCAGAGGGCTCCGAAGTCCCCCGGCTTTCTGAACAAGTATGATAAGCCTTCCCCGAAGGCACAGAGAGCCCCTCGGGAGGCCCTAGGCCCTCTGAGAAGCCCCGCCGCCTTTTAAGAAGACCTTCTCCTTCTCACTTCCCCCTCCTCGCCTGCCGCCGATTGATGTTTGGCACCCTGCGACTGTAGGCTCGGCTCGAAGCGCTGCGGCTGTCTTGGGGCGGCCCGCTGGGCCGCCTGCTCGCGGGCCCGGCTGTTCGGAAGGGGGCCGCCCTCGCGGCTGCGCGGGGCTGCCCTAGGGCAGGGGGGCAAACTCCAGCAATACATTTGCGCCCCAGAACGTACTGCACGCCCCAAAAGTATTGCAACCCCACAAATCTATTACACCAAATCGATTGCACCACCCCACAATGTATTCCGACGCTTTCTGTCCAGCCCTGCACTGACGCTTGCACAGACAAGCGGAGCCTGGTGTGTACGGGATCCTCTGTATACACTTGTCGTCGTTTCCCCGGGAATCGGATCCGCCGGCCCCCTTGCGGGGCCACCAGGCTGTAGGCTGGAGGTTCGCAGTTTCCTGTACCAGTTGCAGTTTCCAGTTTCCACTGTTACAGTTCTGCGTCTTGCTGCTTACTGTTCCTTGTTGACTTCTTGCTGCTGACTGGTCCTTGTTGATGGACCGCGCGAGGGGGGGAGGCCCAAAACGGGCATTTCTACCACGCCCAAATGGAATTGTCTGAATTGCTGGGGAGGGTAAAAATTACACCCCCTCACGCAGATCGGCGGGGTCAGGGTCCAAAACACATTTCTGAAATCGGGTAACACCCCTCACGCAGATCGGCGGGGTCAGGGTCCAAAAACACATGGGATGTGCCACGTTTCTGAAGTTCGGTGGCACCCCTCACGCAGATCCGAAGAGTCAGGGTCAAAAAACATAAAGGATTTGCCACATGTCTGAAATTCGGCGGCACCCCTCACGCAGATCGGAGGGGTCAGGATCGAAAAACACATGGGATGTGCTACATTTCTGAAATTCGGTGGCACCCCTCACGCAGATCGGCGGCGTCAGGGTCCAAAAACAAATGGGATTTCCCACATTTCTGAAATTCGGTGACACCCCTCACGCAGATCGGCAGGGTCAGAATCCAAAAACACATGGGATTTGCCACATTTCTGAAATTCGGTGACACCCCTCACGCAGATCGGCGGGGTCAGGGTCCAAAAACACATGGGATTTGCAACTTTTCTGAAATTCGGTGGCACCCCTCACGCAGATCGGCGGGGTCAGGGTCCAAAAACACAAGGGATTTGCAACTTTTCTGAACTCGGGTAACACCCCTCACGCAGATCGGCGGGGTCAGGGTCCAAAAACACATGGGATGTGCCACATTTCTGAAGTTCGGTGGCACCCCTCACGCAGATCCGAAGGGTCAGGGTCAAAAAACATAAAGGATTTGCCACATGTCTGAAATTCGGCGGCACCCCTCACGCAGATCGGCAGGGTCAGGGTCGAAAAACAAACAGGTCCCGACACTGCTTCACGGCGAAGCCAAAGCCTCATGACTCCGCTCTTCCATGGCCCATTCTCCGAGAGAGGGGGCCGGCGGCAGGGGGCGAAGCCCTTACCGATAACAAAAATATGCACCACAGCACCCCGACGTCGTCCCCGACCCTCGAAAAGTCCTGGGACTGGCATCCCTCCACGGGTAATGTATGTGTTCCAGTTCCCGAAACAGCTACTACAGTAAATGCTCTGCCGCAGAATCCCTCCACCAAAGATGAGGCCTGCCAGCGAGCCGCTGGGGTCGGCATCGATACCAGAGGCTCCACTCGGGTGCGGTAATGACAGGGGTGCACGCCTGTCGGCGAGGCCATTGAGCTCCTTGTCGCCCTGCTCCTCGTCGGTTTGGCGTGTTGATCTGCAGGCCCAAGTGGTGCCCTCCTCTGAGGCCGATGTGCTGCCGTTTTCGCCTTGGGTGGAGTGTGTTGGTCTCGCTGGTGCATGATGAAAGCGATGACGTCTTCGGTC